AGCATGTGAGAGGCACACGCTGCTTCCTTGTGTGCTGGAGCGGTGGTGACTCATCCCAGTGCAGACTTGAGAGGTGGGAGGGAAAAGGTTGTTTACCGGGGTGTGTGTGTGCATTTTCATGTCCTCTAACTGCTGGCGGGCGAGAGCTGGTTGGTGGTAGTGGTTGCCGAGAGCAGCGGATAAGCATCCAAAGAGTGGTGTGTGTGTGTGGGGGGGGGAGAATCAATAACTAGTGATAACTATTTCCCATTACTTTTAAAACGGTGTTGCTAGACCATTTGCAGTGGGACCGTGGCTGTCCCGCCCTGCAGCAGAGAGATGGGTGGTTTGGGGCATTGACATCCCAGTGAAAACTTCAGTTACAAAAATACAGCACTTCTCCGTAAAATGTAAAATGCGTCCAGTGGCAGTTAAAGCGACAGCCCAGCAATTGTGCAGAAAGAAAAGGGCACCTTAGAACACAAGATGTCAAGTTGGATGCGGAGGTGGGGTGGGGGGAGAATAGTAAAACCAGTTGCATAGCCATGCTTCTCTCAGGTTCACAGTTAGGTAAATTGAAGGCATGGCCAGGGGGAAAAAAAGGGAAAGTCCTAAACATTTGTAGGGGTAGTGCCAGATGTTCCTGTTAAAAGAGAACTCTAACCATCTTGGTGGTGGAAAATGCCATCAAGTCACAGCTGACTTATGGTGACCCCGTGGGGGGGTTTCGAGGCAAGAGACGTCCAGAGGTGGTTTGCCGTTGCCTGCCTCTGCATCATGGCCCTGGTATTATTTAGAAGTCTCCCATCCCAATGCAGCCAGGACTGACCCTGCTTAGCTTCCAAGATCTGATGAGGCTAGCCTGGGCTATCCAAGTCGGGGCCACTATCTTGTTACAACCACCAGAAAAGGCCCTGTCATATATAGCCATCCAATCTGGAAATTAATTTTATAGTAATACAATGCAGCAGCCTTTTCAATTGTGTTACAGGCAAACTCTCACCCCCCACCCCCCCGTGTTTCTCGGAAGCTTATTGAAGATTCCTCAGTGAGAAGATCAATATTCATACACTTAGTTGGAGTAGTGATTGGAGGCTAATTGCAGCAAAGGCCATGGAGAAGGTGGGGTTTCGAGGAGAGATTTGAAGGGACTGAGGGGAGAGATGTTACATCAGAAATGGCAGAGAGGCTTCCACGATGGACACCTTGCCCACGACTACTACAGCTGCCGGCCACTTTGTGTCCTAGGAACTTTTGCAATGCATGGGTGTACTCAGTTTGAGAGAGCCAGTTTGGTGTAGTGGTTTAAGTGCACGGACTCTAATCTGGGAGAACCAGGTTTGATTCCCCACTCTTCCACTTGCACCTGCTGGATGACCTTGGGCAAGCCATAGTTCTGGCACAGCCGTCCTTGAAAAAGAGCAGTTTCTGTCAGAGCTCTCTCAGCCCCACCTACCTCACAGGGTGTCTGTTGTGGGGAGGGGAAGGGAGAGGAGTTTGTAAGCCGCTCTGAGACTCCTCTGGGTAGTGAAGGGCGGGGTATAAATCCAGTCTCCTCCTCCTCCTCAGCAGAGCAAGTGGAAAGAGTTTCCTGGAGGCAAGTTTGAAAACCAGAGCAGTACAGTAATAAGGTTGCCCCTCTCTTCCTAACCAACAAAGACAATCTCCCCATCTGAAAAAATAATCACACTGAGAAAGGGGGAAGAAGAGTATGTGGGTATGTGCAGGGGTGGCATGGAGGTAGTGTAAAGGTTACATACATCCAGCTCCATTTTTCAGTCCTAAATTTCATTGCCAGTTCTAGAGCCTGCAACTGGATGCACCTCTGCAACTGGGTGCCCTGGGTGCTAGCCATTATGGTTGCATGGAATCTCCACAGCTGATCAAATGGGAAGGCTTCTTCATACCCCTCCCAGGAGCATCTGGCTTGTGACGATTGGAAACAGAGTGCTGGACCAGGAGGATCGTTAAGCGGTTCCAGCTTGGCAAATCCTTGCAATTGTCTCATTTCACTGGTAGCCAGAAGCATGTTTAAGGAGCTGAAATGAAACTTGCCATAGCTGCAAAGTCCTCTTAAAGCTGCATCAAGTGATATCACTGCCTTAAAGGAAAATTAAATTTGTGCTGCCTCTTCAATCTTGTGGAGGATTCCTGCCACTAGCTTCAGGGCTTGGAAATGGGGGAAGACAGTTGGGTTCCTCCTGCAAGCAATTTTTTCAAGACAGAGCAATAACTCATAAATCCTGACAACCCTGGGCAGAATCTGCCTTGCCTTTTTGTTTGTGCTGGCCATGAATCCTGTCAAACCACCCACCCACATCCCCCTCCCGTGAGCCCTTTGATGGTGTCCTAAATGGGCTGCTGCAAACGGATTGTGCCAAATCATCCCCGTTTTAATAAGGTGACTGGTGGGGCTCACTTGACTATGCAAGACAGTGTTCCGGACCAAACAGTTATTTTTGAGGCTGTTGGTTGACTTAAAGACATTCACTAAGTCTGTATCTGCATATGAATAACAACATAATTCCTGAGGGGGGGGGGAAGGCATTCTTTGTTTTATGGAGGATGCATTCATGTGTGTGAAAAGGCAGCATCTTAGAAAAGGTGTTTTCTCTCCTGCAGAAGGTGAGGAAGGCCCTTTCCTAGGGAGGACCTTGCTGCTCTAGAAAACTGGTGTAGTACAGCGGCCAAGAGGCTGAGCTACAAACCAGAAAATCCCTGGCTCAACCCTCACCGCTGTCGAGAACTCACTTGGTGGACTTAGGCAAAACCAGTCTGTCTCAGCCTCATTCATTCTCCCCTTTCGACAATATGAGAATGCTAATACTGGTCTACCTACAGGGCTGCTGTACTGGTTAGTAAGACAATGTAATGCAAGGTACCTTGAACACTAGAAAGCACTGTCAAATGGTAGCTATTAGCATTTCTGTAGCACTTCCAGCATTCAATGCACTTTGTGTACATTATCACAGTAATCTTTGCAAAAGCCCTGCAAGCCATGTCCAGTACTTTATTCCAGATGTGGGAGGGGCGAGGCCAAGAGTGAATGAGTCGCTTAGCTAACGCCGCCTAGTGAGTTTGTAGCAATGGAGAGATTTGAAGTGTTGATCCTGGAATCAGAGCGATTTCTCTGAACGACTATGGTATATCAACTCCCACTATTGTTATTACTAATCCCGTTGTTGTAGGGAACGATATTACTGGGCAAGGATTTGTAAGAACGCAATTGAAATGGATTTTCCTAAAATTCTATTGCCAGATTAACAGCATGGCTCACATTTTTTAAAACAAAAATCATTTTTATCTGACCACTGCATCATTTTTAATTTTCCCAGCAGGAAAGCCCACAATGTGGCTCCCAAAATAGTACCCTCCCCGTTTTTGTTTTTTTAAAAGGAATATGTTCTCCTAAAGCTTTGGCGATGCCTCCACTGCCCCTGCTCTGTCCCCCACCCTCCTCCTCTCCCTGGTGTGCGCACTCAAGCACTGGGCAGCTTGTTACTTTAATTCGCAGTCTCAGTTTTTGTTAATAGGGAAATGAGGTATTTCGCCAGTCAGCTGCCATTCAGGCCGGGTTTATATTTCATGTTTTGCTAAACACCCGCACTTCTGTCAGTATTGCTGATGACCTTTCTCTCTAGCGTGATGTTTATCCCCCATGGGTCTCTTCTTCTACACACACACACCCTTCCACTTGATGTGCCGTACAGCTGCAATTATTCTGGAGGGGAAACTTTCACTCTTTGTGACATTTATAGCTGCAAATATAAACAGGGGCAAAGGATGGCTACTGCCAGCAAGCTGCTTCAGGGGCTTTGGATCAACCGTGCTGAGAAAAAGAAATATCCAAAATCTGTTTCTTGAATAGCTGAGAACTGCATAAAAGATGCTGGAAATTGGCTTTTTTATACTTAAGATTCAAGGTCTACAAGTGGAAGTAAAAAGGTATGCATATAAACAGATGCTCCCCTGGTCACTGGGGATGAGTTCAGATCTTTTCCAGGTGACCAGTCAAGGAGATTTGTAAACTGGATTGAGACTTGGTCCCCCCACCCCACCCCAGTCATGGTATCCCTGTGCCCTAAATCAGGGGTCAACAAACATTTATAGTAAAGAGCAAACTATGTCAGTAAGTTAGAGCATGAAATCAACAAAGAGCCAGTGTAAGAAAGGCTATTTGAATAACTGAAATATACAACTTAACAGGACTACTTACATTTCCCATTATACCTTAACTTAAATACTTCATTTCCCTTTTTTTAAAGAGCCATGTTTGTTTCTGTGCTTGAGCCCCTTTAAACTCCTGATGGCACCTGGTATTTTTGGCCACTGTGTGACAGAGTGTTGGACTGGATGGGCCTTTGGCCTGATCCAACATTGGCGTCTCTTATGTTCTTATGTTCTTAACTCTAGATCTGAAGGTTGCAGACCCCTGCCCCACTCAGCCTCTCACATTCCTGCATTGTTAGCTGTTTTGTCACAAGGGTTCGTTGAACATACGAAGCTGCTAGGTATTGTTTACTCTGGTGGGTATCATCCCAGCCCATCTATCTGAAATTACTTAACTGGAAGTACCAGGAATGTAATTTTGCACTTTAACCATGCAAAACATGTCCTCTGCCATTGAGTTGCGAACCCTCTCTAAGCACATATGAACAGACATGCTGGGAGATGATCCTGTGAGATGGAACTTCTCTCTGACTGCCAGTGGTTGCCTGAGGTATTCTTTTTCAGCCCTGCTGCCTGCAGTCCAAGCACTGTATCTGGCATTGTCAGCACACAAAGTGTGTGCCCCGCCACTGAGCTACAGTAGTGAAACCTCCTTGCAGTCACATTCTGTGCCAAGGTACCACTGTGCAAGCTGAAATTCTCATGGTCTTACTCTGTTGTCATCAATGTGTCCTAGCCACTTTGGATTTGTCTGCAAGGTATCTTGGGGTATCCAGTTCCAGACTTCTTGAAGTAAGAGGAGAGAAAATGCATATCCTGCTTAATGGGTTACCAATTATCTGTCCTCCTAGGTCCTGCGCTTCTGCTTACCAGTGATAACATCAAGCAGCAGCTTGGCTCTGCAGCACTGGACAGGTAACCAGTCCCTGTTGTCCATGGAACATGTTGTCATCTGTTCTAAACTTCTGCCCCACTGTTTCGTCAAGAAGCTCAGAGCATCCTATATTGGGTGACATAAGAGCTGAGGGTGGGATGGAATGACAGGAGTGCTCTAGCGCGTACAGTTATGGACATGGGCTGGTCAGAATGTGGATTCCTGCTTGGGTGAAGCCCTCTCGGATTAAGCAACTTTGCAGGATTGTTGTGTGGTTTAAGTAGGATGTGCTTCTCCCCCACAAGCACACACTACTCTGAGCTTCTCGGAAGAAGATTGGGATGCAAAGTGAGCTAAATTAAAGATAATGCAGCCATTATAGGTTTATGATTCGCCAATCAAGAGGGGAAAATTGGACATATTTTAAGCTGCCATTAAGCTGAGCAAAAAACGTAATTTCCCAGCAGCTCATTTTTTTACTTGTCAAGTCCTTGCCTATCAGGCAGCTGTCAGGTTAATTAGCCCTGCTTTTTTAACAAGTGGATGTTTTGCCTCGTTTTCAGAAGTTGTCATGAAATGTCTGATTAGTGGCTGGCAGCCGCACATCCTGCGTGTCTGATGTGGGGCTCTTCATTAACAAAAAACAGAAAAACAAACAGCCAGTGAACCCCAGGGGGTGCCCTCTGTTGGAGGGGTGAGCTGTGCACAGTTAAGTGTGGGGGAGCATCCTCAGATTGAGAGTGAGACTTTGGGGTCACCATCCTTCAAGGAGTCTCCCGGCATGGTGATGCTCTTATGTGGCTCCCATTTGTTTCAGAAGAAAGACCTCCTGATGCACTGCGTACTTTGTCCTTCAGCCCATGTAGCTTTCTTCCTCTGCCTGCTTTGATCTTGAGTTTCGAAAAGCCAAAGCAGATATTAACCCCACTGTTGAAAATGGAAACTGCCTCTCCAATCTCTCCCCTGCCCCACACATCACACCCAATCGAAGTTATCTTGTGTCCTGATATCATGGACCCCACTGAAGACCGATCCTTATACTGTGGAAAGCCCCTCACTCTTTGCTTTTGTATCATTTCTGTTCCCTGCCCCCCCCCCACACCTTTTCCTAACTCAGTATCCACGAATACCGCCTATCCAGCTGGCTGGGGCAACAGGAGGACATGCATCGCATTGTGCTCTACCAGTCCGACAGCACCCTCACACCATGGACCCAGCGCTGCATCCGGCAGGCTGACTGCATTTTGATTGTGGGCCTGGGTGAGCAAGAGCCCACCGTCGGAGAGGTAGGCTATTTCAGAATGAGTGTGTGTGTGTGTGTGAAGACACCTGGTCTTTGGTGCCTCAGGAGGGGCGTATCTTTGTTGGAGTTTCTTTTTGGCTTGAGGTGAACCATCTTCAGGGCCAACCCTAGGAATAATAAAGAGAAGCCTCTGGACTTGTGCATTCTTTTACCACTGAGTAACTGAGGAAGTGGGCTTGCACATGAAAGCTCATACCTTGAATAAAACTTTGTTGGTCTTAAAGGTGCCACTGGACTCAAACTTTGTTCTACTGAGTAACTGTAACTCACATACGCATGCACCAATTAAGAAGCTGGGATTTCCAAATACCTCTGTAAGCAGAAAGCTCGTCATGAGAAATTTAGGTACCAATTACCATTCTTGTTGGTAGTTCGTTATCTTTAGGAGGCTGTACAAGCCTATAACCCCTCTTAATTTGTTTTGAATGTAGCAAGTTTCTGGTCCCTACTGGTTAAAGTGCACACAAATGAGCAGCTTCAGTTCAAAGAGATTAGGGTAGAGTGGCACTTGGAAGCCCTATTGCAGAGCCTCGTGACTCCCTTGTTGCCTCCTCCAGTGCTCTGTTGGTTTCACTGTCAATCAAAACCCTTCCCGCAAATTTTACTATTTCTATAAGTCTCTTAATTTCCAGAGTCCTTTATGTTCTTGGTTACACTTGCCCTTTCAACATAGCTTCCTATTTTCCCCTCCCTTATTAAAGATGAGGCTGAGAAGGACTTGCCCATTTGAATCCCAAGATTAAAAAGCATTCTCATATTTTGCAAACTTGTAGTTTGTCTAATGTCGGCTGTAGAGAATGTATCAAAATTTCAGTGTTCCTGTATTTGGTCACACACGGCGTGAAATTGGACTGGGACGATTGAAAAGACACAAAGATAGAGCAGCTTTCAGTTTTGTAGGCTGCTGCTTGCGATGGCCATCCCTCTGCAGTCAAGAAACTTTGTGCTTGCCAAGCTTACCAGCTCTTGTGCTGTAGCCGGTGCTCCAGATTAAACTGCAAGCACAGGATTTTCTGGAGTGGGAAGTGGGCCACATAAGCTGCTTTGTGTTTGGATTTGGAGGTCTGATGTTACCAAAGTAACATGACATTAAAGAGGGAGGGGGAGGAGCCGTGGCCCAGTGGCAGAGCTCTTGCTTTGCATGCAGAATGTTCCATGTTCTTGCCACCTCTGGTTAAAAGGACCGGGTAGCAGAGAAAGAGAGACCTCGGACTGAGATCCTGGAGAGCCACTGCCAGTCAGAGAATACTAGACAAATGGTCTGATTGAGTATATGGTCAATTCACCGTGCTTCCTTGCCTTGCCTTCTGTTGTGACTCTGACAGAGCATGGAGGAACTGGCTCATGACCCAGTCCTTGGGGTAGCCGACATAACCTGTACTTTGCTGTGTGTGCATATAGTGAAGCATACGCCTGTGCATTACGGTATGATGCAGCTATCTGACCGTGGGAATACACACAGCATAGAGTGACAAGCGGACCCATCAGTGGCTCAGCATAGTTTGATGGGAAAGGGGGGAATTGCAAGGTATCGTTATCCCAGTGGTTGTTACATATGTTTGTTTATCGAATTTCTACCCCACCCTCCCAGCCGAAGCTGGCTCAAGGCAGCTTACATAGAAACAGATAGGTTACATTAAAACCTAAGTTACAATTAGAACAATTCTAAAACCATAATAAAGTGCCAGTGGTCATTGTCGTTCGTTGATGGTGGCAGCCATTATTCAGTATTCTCAACTCACAATCATCTCGCAGTGTTCATTTGATTGTCCGTGCAGTGCTTGATGTCCTTTAGGCTGTGGGCTGTTTCCGGGACCCAGGGGCCTCTCACATTCAGCCATTCATTGTTCATTATTGGTGGTGGCGGCAGCTCCCAAAAGCCTGGCGGAAGAGCTCCATTTTACAGGCCCTGCAGGACTGTAAAAGGTCCCGCAGGGCCCTGATCTCCTCCAGGAGCTTGTTCCACCAGGATGTGGCCGCTACCAAGAAAGCCCTGATCCTGGTTATCGACAGCCTAGCCTCCTTAAGACCCAGGAGGGCCAATCGATTCTGAGCCCCTGACCGCAGGGGACATGTGGTATGTGCAGTCCCTCAGGTATGTAGGTCCCTGACCATATAGGGCTTTAAAGGTAAGAACCAGCACCTTGAAATGAATCTGGTATGCTATCAGCAGCCAGTGCAGTGCCTTTAGCACAGGCTCTATGAGCTCCCGTCTAGAGAGCCCCATAAGTAGCCTTGCCGCGGCATTTTGCACCAGCTGCAGCTTCCGGATTTGAGACAAGGGCAGCCCCATGTAGAGAGAATTACAGTAGTCCAATCTCAAGGTGACCGTTGCATGGATCACTGTTACCAGGTCATTGCGTTCAAGGAAGAAAACCAACTGCCTGATCTGCCGAAGATGGTAAAAGGCTGATTTGGCAGTGGCTGCTACCTCCATAGTTGAGGCATCCAGGAGCACTCCCAAACGCCTAAACTCCAGCGCTGGCACCAGTGGTGCCCCATTGAAGGTCGGGAGCAGGATCCCTAACCAGGACCTCAGTCTTCATTTCAGTTTCAGTTGGCTCAGCCTAAGCCAACCAGTCACGGCTTGTAGCAGCTGGTCCAGATCTTCCGGTTTGGAGTCAGACTGACCACCCAACAGCAGATAGAGCTGGGTGTCATCCATGTACTGGTGACAACCCAGCCCATGCCTCTGGGCAATCTGGGCAAGGGGACGCATATAGATGTTAAAAAGCATTGGGACAGCGCCCCGCCCCTTGAGGCACACCGCAATCCAGTGGGTTCCTCCGGGATAGCCGTTCCCCTAGTATCACCCTTTGTCCCTGATCTTGGAGAAAGGAGACAAGCCACTGTAAGGTCAGCCCCTGAATTCCATCGTCAGCGAGGCGGTGGGTCAGTAGCTGATGGTCGACCATGTTGAATGCTGCCAACAGGTCCAACAACAACAGCACTTCCAATCTGCCTCGATCCAGATGCCTCCAGAGGTCATCCGTGAGGGCGACCAGCAATGCTCCCTCTAAGCTGTGGAGTCCTGTGAGCAAAAATCTTGCTTTGTGAGCTACTGGCATTAAAGTTTTGAGCCGGTGATTTGACTACTGCATCGATAAGTTTGTTCTGGAGCCATCCTTCCCGAGCTAAGACAAAAATGTGTGAGCCGGAGGCTAAAAAACTGTGATCTAGCTCACGCTAACTCAGAGGGAACACGGGCGACCAGTGCTGTCTCCATCCCATGGCCTGGGCGAAAGCCGGGCTGGAAGGGGTCTAAAATGGAAGTGTCATCTAAGAATCCCTGTAATTGAACCACTACTGCCCTCTCTATTATCTTGCCCAAATAGGGCAAGTTGGAGACTGGTGCCTGACAATGAATCACAACTCTCACAGGCAGCCTGTATCCAACCATGCAGTTCCAGAAATTTAAAGAGGGGCAGTGAGTTCCATCGGTTCGCCCTCCTGTTGTAACCTAGAGGAACTCCCTGACAAATTTTCCTGAGGCTAATAGGTTCTCAGAAACTGTAATAGTCAGATATGTGGCAGTCTAATAAGTTTAGATGTAGGTACCATTTCAAAGAGTTTGAGAACCACAACAGTACAGTAACAATGGTGTTAAAACCAACAAGAAGGTCACGAGGAAATGAGCATGCTTTGGAGAACATCAAAAACTCTTTGTAAGGGCCCTGACCTGGATAGCCCATGCAAACATGATCTCATCAGATCCTGGAAGCTAAGCTGGGCTGACTCTGGCAAGTACTTGGAAGAGAGACCTCCAAGGAATACCAGGGCTGGGATGAAGAGGCAGGCAATACTAAGCCACCTCTCTGAAACATCCAAGCCCCACTAGGGGTCGTCAGAAGTCAACCATGACTTCCAGGCATGTACACACACACACACACACACACACACACACAATAACAAAAAAAACCACACACAAAAAAACACCCCCTCTTTGTAAGGCTGGGTAGTAACTAAAAGGGGAGCAGGGGTAATTGTAGGAGGTGACAAGGGAAATATTTCAGTTTAGCCCGTTAATCCCCCACATCTGACCACAAAAGCAGTTCAGCATCAGTGAACCGCAGCGAGTCAGTTGTCACGCCATAACAGTGGATTAATGTCCTGAGTTTTAATTTAAAATACTAAAAAGATCAGAGGTCACTTAAATTTTTAAGTGCCTCCTTACCTCCCCAGATTGGCGCTGATGAAGTCTGCTGTGAGGGAGACCCCTTTCCACCCAGGAGGTCTGAGGCCAGAATACTTTGCACCTTCACACCCACCTCACACCCCTGCCCCCGGCAGCTCATTAGATCTTTGCTGCCCGAGCAGTAGCCTTTGGCTCCCTCTGATGAAGTGCTTTAGAATCATATGTGGGGCTGGTCTTCCCCTTGGCATGATGCAAAAGTTCCACTTTGCAGTATATCAATTTAATTAGGTTAGACTATGCTTGGTGAAAAAAGGTTACTCTGCAGGCTGCAAGGATGGGGAAGAAAGGGCTGCTCTCCCTTTGGAGAACGTGAAAGCCCACAATTATTCAGCTCTGTCTCTGGCACTAGTTGGAACTCAGGTTGCCAGCTCCCGGTTGGGAAATGCCTGGCGATTTGGGGACAGAGCCTGGGAGGGTGGGGCTTGGGGAGGGCCAACCTCTGTGGGGTGTAATGCCATAGAGTCCACCTTCCAGAGACACCATTTTCTCCAGGGGAACTGATCTCTGTGGTTTAGAGATAAGTTGTGATTCTGGCGTATTTCCAGGCCTCACCTTGAGGTTAACAACCCAAATTGGAACGTGCAGACTTTCCTTTGGGAGGCAAGATTCTATATTTGCACAGGCCAAGAAACAAGCCTCAGAATTTTACAGAGTGAAGATTCAGGGGATGCCAGCTCCTGAGGGTCTCATCAGCCAGCTGGAGGACGGGTTCTTGTACGAGCGCCCTGTGTCCATCACTTGGAGCACCTTGGCCCCTCAGGTCATGGCCAGGCAAATTCAGCCCCCTGTCCCAAACGTATCGTGCATGGGTTTTTTTAGACTTTGATCTCTATGTTTCTACTTAAAGCCGTTGCTTTGAAAATACTTTGAAAAGGGCTGTGTGTCATCTGTGTTGGGGGGGGGGGGATTGAACATTGGATTTCCACAGCCCAGATTGTGCAACAGGATAATCGAAAATCTGCAGCCCACGTACATTAATGCAAATTAAGCTCATTTGCATAGATATGACTGAGCTGTGAACAGGGAAGTTCCTGGTTCCAGTCTCCCCTTGACCATGGACTCTCTTTGGATATTTTTGTACTGTGAATTTTATTAGGGTTTTTATAAAGTTTGTGCTAATTATTTTTACATGCTGTGACACGTTATCAAAGGGTGGTGGTACAGTAGTGTACAAATCCAGTTAAATTGAAAAAGTAACACTTTGCTTTCCTCCCTTAGCTGGAGAGGATGCTGGAGAACACAGCTGTCCGAGCCCAGAAACAGCTGATCCTGCTCCACAGAGAGGACGGTCCCCTTCCTTCCCGAACTGTAGAATGGCTCAACATGCGGAGCTGGTGTTCAGCCCACCTTCACCTCCGCTGCCCCCGTCGCGTCTTCTCCCGGCGGAGCTTGCCAAAGCTGGTAAGAAATCTCTTAAGGGGTGAAGTGGAGGAGGTTCCGTGTTGTGACAAGAGCAACTTAATGGCAGATTTCTCAAGAGGATACTGCCCGGTCAAAGTCGGTCTTGTGGCCTGCAAGTAAGACCCAAGGTGTCATTGAGTAAGTGCCTGAGATGCAGTGCGGCTACCACTGGCATAGTTGTAGCATGGTCAGAGCTAGGGGTCTAGGGACCAGTAGGGATGGGCATTCTCAGTCTGTACCTGAGCGATGGTTTGCTCAATCCGAGGAGGCAGGGCAGAGCCGGTAGCTTTATAGGGCCACATGGAACCCAGTTGGCTGTTTGGTGTCACCTGACACTTGCTGAGCTGATGCAGCTAGGTAGATTTGTAGTTTTCTCAGCAGAATAGCCACTGTCGCCCATCACAACAGAGTACAGTCTCTGTGGGTTTTCACAGGGGATGTGCCATTTTAAGGGCTGGGTTGAAGATGTTTCCCGCAAGTGTTCCAGTCACCCCCTGGCAGTGAGGACAGCAAAAATGGTCAAATCATTCTGTGTAATTTCACAGTTTTGCCCCTCCCTTCTCTCCGTCTTCTACAGTCAGCCTCTGCCTTCTCATGGTTCCTCAACAAATGCAACAATATGAAGCTCTAGGTTGCTGTTCAGCTTCCCTGGAGCCCACGGTAGTTGCATGAGAGACTGTATTGTGCACCTGGGTTTTCTTCCTCCCCAGGTAGCTGACAAGCATGCCCTGGGGGGAATGTTGTTTTCTTCACACTTCCCCATTCTTCCCCACCTTAGGGTGGCTTTCATCTCATCACAAATGATTACACCTTTATGAGAGAACAAACCTCAACTCCCCTGTTCTATTGTCCTGTTTTCTGTGGCCTTAATTTCTCAGAAACGGTCTATCCTACAAGCTCCCTTTTGCTTCCTGGCTGGCCCATCTGACCATAACAGCTATATGATGTTTTTAATTATCAGAATGGTTTTCAAAATGCTTGCTTTGAGTTCTTATTACTGCTGGGACTTGGAGGGAGAGCAAAGAGAGGAAGGAAGTTTGGAACCAATGAGAACGGTGTGTGTAGTGACTGTGAGTGGGGGCCCCACTCCCAAATCTCACTTCTACTATGTGCTTGCTAGGTTGCCTTGGGCAAGCCAGTGTTCACTTGAGATATGGGGTTAATAATTCAAGGGAAGTGGTAGAACAGATGCTTTGCATCCAGAAGCTTCTAAGTTCAATCATTCCCTGTTAGCAAGTGTTGGGAAAGACTTCTCCTGATCAAGACCCTGCTGGTCAAATACATAATATTGAACTAGATGAACCAGTGATCCGATTTGGCAGAAGGCAGCATCAGACGTACAGATATGCTCATGCATAAACAGTTGAATTTGGCCGGGTAGGCCACAGGTCTTGACAACTTTAGAAGTTCAGTTCCAACCTAACCTACAGAGTTGTTTTAAGAATTGTTGGAAGTTACGTATGTGAAGTTTCATGCTCTCTAGAGCAAAGATGAAGTCTCATGACTAGATTTCACATGATGGGCACACGCTGGGGTAGCTGTGTGAATTATTCAACATATGTCTGGACAGTCACCAAATCACCCTAGTGAAGAGAAAATGCTAAATTGTTGACCTCTTCCTGGTTCAGAGAGAGAAAAGACAGCTGTAACTGTGTCATGGAGAAAATGAACTGGGGGGAGGGGGATCGTCTCACAGTTTCTCAAACCAAAACCCTGTAGAGCTGAGGAGTGAAAGTGGTGATCATCATGCTTTTAAGTTTAAAGAAGGGAGAGAGGCTGTCGCCCCACCTGCAGTCAGTTTTCTGGGGCAGCAGAAAGCATAAGTGGCTTTGTAAAGGAGAGGTCTGAGAGAAGCAGAGTCAGGATAGCCAAATATTTCATCACCCTATATTCAGAGAGGGTGTACCTCTGGCTACCAGACTTTAGGAGTTCAGGTGGGGTTTAGGAGTTTAGGAGACTTTAGACTTTAGGAGTTAAGGTCTTTTCATCGCGGTTTAATCTTGAATCTTCCTGAAGCATTTTTGTTTAAACAGAATGGTGGGCAAGAGGGACCCCGCTGGCTCAATACAGCACATCTGACGTTGTTCTCCTCTTCCACACAACCTGGTTGATATCTGGGCAGGATAGGCTTGGGTCCTCCTACCTTGTGTCAGAGTCTGGGCAGTAAATTCCTTATGCCCATGAGGCTTGGGGGTCCTGGTGCATTGCAATATGGCTGAAGTTGGTCCTGACCAGTCACGAAGGCGTCTCCTCCTTTCTCCTCCACAGAAAGAAATGTATGAGCGTGTGTTTCAGAAGCCTCCAGAAAGACATTCTGACTTCTCCCGACTGGCTCGCATCTTGACTGGGAATGCAGTCGCTCTAGTGCTTGGAGGAGGTGGTGCACGGTAAGACCAGCCACATCCTTAGGCATACATTTACAGTTTGGGCATATCTGATGCTACCCAAATCTTAAATTGACACAAAGAAAGTCTACAAAGGTTAGAGGGGAGGTAGAGAGCAACAGCTGAAGAATCCATTTTCATTCCATGTGCTTAGGCTTCGCTTCAGTAAGGAAGGAGTGCTAAGGGGTCGTGCCCAAGGGCTTCATGGGAAAGGTAGGTTTAGAGGAGGGGCTTGAAGGAAGCAATGTGCAGATGGTATCAAACTGTGGTCTTGAGAGCCAAGCAGTTTCGGAAGGAAGGAATCATCTGAAGGTGGTGGGACTGGAGAAACGCAGGTCCCTGACAAAGATGTATCAAAACAGAAGGCCACAGAGAATCCTGACAATAACGACGTGGAGTTTTTGCAGAATCTGGTAGCAGATGGGAAGCCAGCATAAGGATTCAAGGAGGGTTGTCACGTAGGATGGTGGGAGGCAAATGGCAGGTAGAAGTGAGGGGGCCAATTCATGTGGCAATGGAAAACCAAAAGAGGAGGTTGCAGCAGTACGGGCAAGAGCTGAGCCTCAACTCTATCCCTACAACACCAAAAAGTATCCCAGCTGTGTAAAGGTAAATGTTGAGTGTCTTCAAGGCATCCAAAATCATTTCAGGCAGCTTTCCTCAAGAAGAAAGAAATTACACCAAATTCCCAACGCTTGCATTTCTGAAAAGCACTTGCTCTCTCTGCGCTCCAGCCCTCCTCCTCCTTTTCAGTCTTTTGATCATTACAGTACAGAGGTAGCATTTTGCCTTCTTAGATCCTCAGTAGCTGTTCAAGTTCAGGATCATTTAAGGGCTCTGGGTCTGTTCTAAGCGCTTGTAAATGTCACCCCTCTTTGTCCTTGGAATCATTGCATTTGAAGAGGTGTGGGGAGGAGGGGTGGAGAGAAGAGTGGCCGCGTACAGCGTAATCGCAATGAACCTTGAAATTTTCTTGTCTCCTGCACTTTTGCATGGGTAATTAGTTCCCTGATGCTTGGCTGCCAGCCCCTCCATGATTGTTCCGGGGTTTGGGAGAAATGCCATAAAGTGAATTCGCCCACACTTTGTTCCAGCCCAAGGGAGTTTTAATGCCTCCCCTCCTTTTGTTAACATTCTAAATACCACACTTGCTCTCCTTTTGCTTAAAGCTGACAAGGGGAGAAAGCGAGCGGCTCCTTGGAGTCGGTGGGGGGAACTGGAGTGAGGGGGGAGCAGCCCTGAAACTCAGGGGAACTTGAGAATTACAAACTCCACGGATATGGTGATTGTCTGTCATTCCGAAAGGCCTTCCCCGGGCAGTGATTATCCTGTCTTCTAGAGGTTTTGGATCAGGCCAATGGCCCATCCAGTCCAACACTCTGTCACACAGTGGCCAAAAATACCAGGTGCCATCAGGAGGTCCAGCAATGGGGCCAGGACACTGCTGGACCTCCTGTTGGCACCTGGTGTTTCTTTCAACTTGCATGTTCTCACAACCATCCAGTGAGGCAGGTCACAGTGCTTCGTGCCTGCCGTTTCCCCACCACCACCATGTGTGCACATGTCTCCTCAGAGAACAGTGCATGACTGCAGTGTTAATTCAAACATCTATGAAGTCTTTATAACAAAGTAAAATATTCAAAGACATATTTTCAGGTGAAATTTCCCCTTACTCCCAAAAATACTAAAAAGAGAAGCAGAAGGACGGAAGAATAGAAGGCCTGTGGTACAGATAGTCAGAGAAACAGCGACAAAATGGAGCCGGGGAATTCACTCACCGCACCATAATAACTAATAGAGAAACTACTTCAACCATAATGTCTTAGCCTTCCTTAGCAGAAACACAGCTTTGTTTCACTCATTTTTCTCCCATTCATCCATTATTACCCTTTGTTGCCCCTTGTTATTGACATTTTCATTGTGTGTTCCTTGTGTGCTTTTCTTTTTCCATTTAATCTCTTTCACTTTTGTTGCTTAGGTTAAAGGTCATGTGCCCTGCAGACAACAGATAAATAGAATTTTTGTAGCTTTACAGAGCAGTAGTGTGAAAAGAAGGTCCCCGCCCCAAGGAGGGTAAATGGGGGAAGAATGTGCATTCAGTTCTGTATGCTGGGGCTTAAGTTACAGTAAGCAATGAGGGCACTATACATAGCATATAACGTTTCGTTACTAATACTATAGTAATAATAATGCATTTTAAAGATCTTAATTCAAACAGTGTAGTTTCCAATGTTCCCTCTAAGCTGTGGAGTCTTGGAAGCAAAAATGCTACTTTGTGAGCTACTGGCATTAAAGTGGTGAGCGAGCGATTGGGCTGCTGCATAAATTAGTTTGCTCTGGAGCCGTCCTTCCTGAGCGAAGGCAAAAACGTGTGAGCCGAAGGCTAAAAAACTGTGAGCTAGCTCACACTAACTCAGCTTAGAGGGAACACTGGTAGTTTCCCGTTTTTAGAAAGCAAATTGTGCAGATGGTGTCCACGGGACTTTGTATATTATTTATTTATTTCCTTTTATTTTTACTCTGCCCTGTTTTGAATTAAATTAAACTATGCCTCATAAAGAGCAGGATTTTGGGACATGTAGAAATTGTGTACATTTGTCTTAATTTCCCTTTTTTCATAATTCAGCAATTTAAAAATATTGTCCATAATTCCAGGTTTTCTAATTGTGTGCCCAAGTCCCACTCCGGACAACTGAAGATCTTTGGCCTCTGAGATTCCACCAAGCCTTGCGCACTCACTTCCAAGCACAACCATATGGGTTTTTCTTTTTGTAACCGGAAGTGGAATTTCTCAAGGAAGCTGCATTCAGTAGTTGGTACTCAATACCACGGTCTGTGCTTCCGAGGAATGACAGCCTGCACCAATGCTCCCTCTAAGCTGTGGAGACTTGTGAGCAAAAATTCTTCTTTGTGAGCTACTGGCATTGAAGTTGTGAGCGAGAGATTTGACTGCTGCATCAGTTAGTTTGCTCGGAAGCCACCCTTCCTGAGCTAAGACAAAAATGTGTGAGCCGGAGGCTAAAAAACTGTGAGCTGGCTCACACTAACTCAGCTTAGAGGGAACACTGGCCTGCACCCAGCCTTGACTGTCCCTTCCTTTATTTCAAAAGGCTCAAAACTCAAGGAGTCTACACTGTGCTGGGATTTGACATCTGTCGCTCCTGTCAAGGAAGGGTGATAAGGCTGGTATTTCCAGGGATAGGGCCTCTTCATTTTTTGAATCTGCCCGAGAATGAGTTCTTGTCTTTTGGATTATGACAGTCGCTTAGTGTTAATGGTGAGCGATTGTTTTGTGCAGGCGCTCTCCTTGAATCGTAGCCAGAGGCACATAGGCAAGCAAAGACGCTTCTGCTCAAAACCGGCATTGTGTTCCAGAAGCGGGGATACGCTAGGCATCTCAGGTAACAATTAGGCTGCAAGTGTCTTTCCTCGGGTTGTTTTCCCCCCTTTACTTCCAACCAGCCACTTCACGGTAATTATCTTTTTGCAATTTGTCATGACAGACAAGAGAACAGAACCTGTGCGTGCGGCTCTTCCTGTCTCCCCTCTATACTCCCACCCCTCCCTTCCACCTCCCCATCATCTTGACGTAAAAAATGCAACAGTTCCAACAGACACCACACTCAAATTACAGCGTTTCACATTCACAGAACTACCATGGAGGGGAGGGGGGTTCGATAGCTATCCAAGCGCACTCTGGCATAGCTCTTTTGTTCACGCAGCTATGAGAGGGGGATGAAAAGAATAGTGATGCCTGAATGCATCTTGGCCAGAGCTTCAGCTTACCAGTCAGCCTGTGAGGGCCGCAGGCACTCCCCCTGTAGTCTCCTGGCTGGAGTCCCCCTGTAGACTCCTGGCTGGAGTCTTAATTCTTCCTCAGATTAGATCCTACTCTCTTGACCAGGCAAGCCCAGAAAGTCAAGTCTCACATACATATGTGCTGACCCCTGGCTAATCCAATCCAGAGCGTTTGTACTCCCTGCTGATTGTCCAGTGGCCTGAAGAAGGTTCTGGGGAACTCCACGTTCCCAGGTAGCTCATGGAGCTGGAAGCCAGCCTCAGGTGCCGCAGTTCTTGGCTCAAGCCTCAGAGTCCTTGGTGTGAGCCAAGGGAAAGGAGAAGTGACAGGAAGCCATGCCACGTGGAAGGAAAGTGAGCCAGGAAATAGGATTGCCCTTCAGAGATGGTGAAGGGGAGGTTTAATTCCCCAGCAGGGCAGAAAGGGATTAGGCCCCTGAGAGGCTCAGTTGCCATTGAACCCAGACAATATTGTCTGCAGGGGGAGGGAGGTGGCTTTTTCCTCATCCTCGTAGAATGCTACGGACACGCAGATATTGTTGCTGGCCTGTGGTAGCCAAGGTAGGTTTGGATAGAAATCTTTGCATGGGTTTGTGTGTGTGACTGGTTCCACGAGAAAAGGGTGTGTTGTGTGAGCATGGGTTGATATGGTAACATTTCAGGCCTTCCTTTGTTTGGGGGTTTTTCCTTTCAAGTTGTAGCCAACTTAGGGGTGACCCTTAGGGTTTTCAAAGCAAGAGACAGTCAGAGGTCTGCCTCCCCATAGCAACCCTGGACTTCCTTGGTGGTCTCCCATCCAAGTCCCAACTAGAGTTGACCCAGCTGAGCTTCTGGGATCTGAGGAGATCAGGCTAGCCTGGGCCACCCAGGTCAGGCAGGGCCTTTCATGGTAGTGCTAGAAAAGGGGGAGGGAGATGCAGAAGGAGGAACAGAAGAGAACAAAAGAAGAACGGAGGCTTGGTCAACTTTCAGTTGGGACAGGAGCCTTCTCAATCTCAGCTGTGGAAACTCCACACTTGTCTTCCCTAAGGGGGCCATCAACAGATTCCTGTTGCTGCTGAGACTGAAGTTGAGGGAATTTTAGAAAGAGAGAGTCCGGGCTTGGCAAGAAGCAAGCTGGATTTCTGGTGCTTTGTCTCAAGGCTTGAGTGAATCCAGGACAACACAAGACTGGGTCACAGTTCAACTCTCTCGATGACTTTCAGGGCAAGGGCACAGGAGAGGATAGCAAAGCAGAGCCGGAGTTTGTGCAGTGTCCTTTTTCTCTCACCACTCACTGGCAGCAGCCAAGACTCTGTGGATGCCGCAGGAGTAAAGGCACAAGCCACAGGACAAGCCATTGGCTGCAGAATCCAGCATCCCGTGAATCTCAGTTCTCATTTTTTAAAGCAAGTTTCTATACCCTGTAAGTGTAAAGATGTGCTTGGAAATTTGTGTGCGATGCTTGCTGAAATCCCAGACGCCGGAGGAGTTGTTACATCCTATTTCCAGTGACCATGTAAGCTGGACTTCCATGCCCCAGGTATTGCTTCTTGTAATGCGGCAGCAGGACAATAAATTATGCACACAAAAACCCTGTACAAATATACTCTGTTTGCATAATATATACCAGCTACAGAACTGACCTTTATTTTGGTGCAAATCTGCTGGAATGTGGCACTTTCTCTCCTGACTACAGAGGAGCTTGTGCTGCTTTTGATGGCTGCAGTTTGGATTTTTTCTTCTTCTATCAACCGTGACTTTTCCTCCGGTACGCTTTTCATTTCCCCCCTTCTCCCCTCTCACACTGCCCTAGGGGATGTTCCCAAGTGGGCGTCATCAGGGCCCTGAACGAAACCGGCATCCCAGTCGACATGATTGGCGGCACCTCCATCGGGGCCTTCATGGGTGCCCTGTACGCCGAAGAGCGCAGCTACACCCAAATGAGGATCAAAGCCAGGCAGTGGGCGATGGTAAGGGGATTCCCGTGTCAGCGCGAGAGGTCTAAAGGAGCCAGTTCGGTTCAGGGGATGGTTGAGCTTCTGTGCTTGCTTCCTCAGTCGGAAGGGATGTCACCAGAGCGTTCAACCCCGCTTCGCACGTTCCCAGGTCTCTTAAGCAAGGGAGAGCTACTGAGGCCTGAAATGAGCTTCCGTTTCACCGCACAGAGTAGGCTTCGGTCAGGCCTGGGGTGGCGGAGGGACGGCTCCCCGAGGGAGCCTTTCCTTACTCCTCACTCGGCAGGCCAGCTGTCCCGCTGTGCATCAACTGGAAACCTTGTGTTTCCGTGATAGCATCTGTTTGCCAAACCTCCCGCAGCAGAACGGTCGTTCCCCAGGGCTGTTTGCACTGGCAGACTCCAGCAACATCACGATATTTTGTTCAAGGCAGTCAACATGCCGCTACTGCTGCTGGCTTCCAATGGGGTGCTGTTAGCTTTGATTCTTTTTTCTCTCTTTTTTTAAAGTTATGGCAAAATGACTAGGGAAACTCTTAGGGGACCGGCTCGCAGGCAGTACGCCAATACAGCATTTGGCAATGGACACAGATTTCAGTACCTTGAGAACGTCAGCTGCCAGTCTCTGTGTTTGAAGTAAACATTTTTTATTTATAAAGGCAGGCAGAGGAGATGTGCTGTTGGTGTCTGTGGCACTTTACGGGAGACAGGCTCCTTTCCTCAGGAGCTTAAGCTTTGGTTTGGTTGGGGATGAAGAGGCTAGCATTGCAGAAAATACAGGCCTTGCCTGAAGGCATCTGGGAAGCCAAAGCAGTGGGGGCAGGGTTCCACTGGGATTCCCATGATCTATGGGATGGAGCTTCAAAGCTCTGCATAGCTCTCCCCTCACAGTGGGCTTCAGCCTGTGGCTCTAGTGCCAAATGTGGTGCAGTATAGAACCAAATACAGCTCTTTAAAAAAGAAAATGCAATCTTTAAGGTATATTGGAGGGGCAGGTGAGGAGCTAGAATACCTACTCAGTGATGGGAATGGCAGGCAAAGATTTTTGGGGGACTAAAGAGCTTCTGAGAGACACTTTGCACTACAGAAAGTTGCCAGTTACACAAGTGCAAACCATGTACAGATTTATGCCAGTGCGCTAAAACAATTGCACAGGGTGTTTCTGTGTATATTGATGTCTTCTTGTGAGATCTCACTTGTGTCATTTCCTAGTGAAGGACATACAACTGCTAGTGTTTGGGCTGCAGAAACTTTACATCTCATCATATCAATTATTGGTAATGTTAAATAGTTTCACTTATGGCCCTGACCTGGATAGCCCAGGCAAGCCCGATCTCGTCAGATCTCGGAAACTAAGCAGGGCCAACCCTGGCTAGTATTTGGGTGGGAGACCTCCAAATAATACCAGGGCCAGGAGGCAGAGACAGGCTATTAATCCACTTCTCTGAATGTCTTCCATGCCCCAGTAAGAGTCACCAGAGGTCACCATGACTTCCAGGCATAGGCACTCACACTCACACACATGCAAAAGAACAAAAAAAAAATGGTTTCACTTATGCCAGTAGGCTTTCTTCTGCTGGCTCTTTGTTGATCTTTTGCTCTCAATTGTATGTACTTGGGCTCTTAAAATGTAAAAGTTGGTAGTCCTCTGGCTTAGCAGAACCACCTATGCAATATGTGCAGATCTGCAGTTTTCCTTGCATTTTGAGGCTGTGAATTTGGCTTGTTTGGTAGCACTGTAAGAAGAGGAATCTCTTGCAATATGGAAGTGAAAAGTACTCAGAAACGTGGAGTGATTTCAGCAAGAGTACTTTATTTAAGCAGGAACAAGACAAGGAACGCCAGCTCGCAGGCTGGCTTATATGTGCTGTAAAACCCACCACCAAAACACACCCCCTACTCCCTACTGGCTATTTACAGAAGCCGAGAGTCCCATAGGCTCTCGGCAGCGGACCTGGCCCTCTGATAGGTGCGGGCTAGGATCCGCGGGGCTATTGTTCTCAAGGAACGAAGCTTCAGGCTTTTGCACGACCGCATGGCCCAACAGTCGTGCACGTGGTTGAGGCGAGTACATTACACCCCTCCCCCCATAGTCCGGACTAACCACATACATAGTCCTGGAGGTACGCGGGAGGCACCCGGGTGTTGGTGGAATGACGTGGCTCCGGTGCAGGCGGGGTGGAGGCCGCCGCGGGTCTGGCCGGTGAATTTGGTGCTGGCGCGGCTGGGTGTGGCGGAGACGGAGGTCCAGGAGCTGGGTCGGCGGAGACCCGCTCGGAAGCCGGTGTCTGGGGCACTGGGGCCGACGTCTCGTCGGTGTCCGGGAACTCCAGGTCCTCTGGGTCGTTCGGGAGTACCCGCCGCCGTAGTTGGTCTATGTGGCGGTGGAGCAGTTGGCCGTCCTCGCAGGAGACCTCGTACGACTGAGGTCCTCTTATGCGTACCACTCGTGCCGGAATCCAGGCCGGGCCTTTGGAGTAGTTGCGGGCGTAGACCGGGTCTTCCGGGAAGAAGCCTCGCGCGGCTTAGGGTGCTTCCGTGGCGGGTTCTTCCTCGGGAGCCCGGTCCGGGTGAAGGCGATCCAGCCGTGAGGTCAGGCGGCGTCCCATTAGTAGTTTGGCCGGGCTGTGCCCTGTCCCTGTGTGGGGTGTAGTGCGCTGGCCAAACAGGAACGCTGCCAACTTGTAGTCCCAGTCTTTGCTCTCTATCCGGCGCAGCGTGCCTTTGGTGGTGCGCACCATGCGCTCCGCCTGCCCGTTGGTAGCCGGGTGGTTTGGCCCTGGAACGGACCCGCAAAGTCCAGATGTAGCCGGGACCAAGGTTTGTGGGATGACTCCCAGGCTCGGGCTGGAGCCCGCGGGGGCTCGGGTCGAGAGGACTGGCACGGCTGGCATTTCTTCACCTGGTCCTCGATGTCCCGATCCAGGCCTGGCCACCACACATAGCTCCTGGCCAACGCTTTCATACGCACCACTCCGGGGTGTGCCTCATGCAGTGCCGCCAGCTCCCGTTCCCGGAGTGGGGTGGGGATCACCACTCTCCCTCCCCACATTACACAACCTTTGTGTGTTGACAGTTCATCTTTGCGGGAGGCGTAAGCGGTGAACTCTGGCCCCGCAGCGGCCACTGGCCACCCCCTTCTCACCCAGTCCAGGACGCGGCAGAGGATTGGATCCCAGTTGGTGTGACGGGCCACTTCACGCACGTGGACCGGCTGGTCGGGCAGGGTTTCCAGAAGCGTGATCAGGTGGGCCGGCGCCGGGTCAGGGCCTGTCTCTGGCAGAAGGAGGCAGCTCAAGGCATCAGCGTGCCCCATCGCTTTCCCGGGGCGGTGGAGGAGTGCGCAGTTGTAGCCCGCCAGGAAGACGGACCACCTGATAACTCTCGGCGAGGTCATCTGGGGGGTCTGACGGTCCGGGGCGAGCAGACGAAGGAGTGGCTTGTGGTCCGTTAAGACCGTGAAGGGCCGGCCGTAGAGGTAGTGGTGAAATTTTTTCACCCCGACCACTATCGCAAGCGCCTCCTTATCTATTTGAGCGTAGTTGCGCTCAGCTGCCGACAAGGTACGGGAGTAGTAGGCCACTGGGACCTCCCGCCCGTCCGGCAGCTTGTGCCCCAGGACCGCCCCGACTCCGTAAGGAGAGGCGTCACAGGCAATACCACCAGCAGATCCTCATTGAAGTGGGCCAGGACCGAGTTGGAGATGAGGAGGTCCTTGACCGCTTGGAATGCCGCGGCCTGGGCCGGCCCCCAGACCCACGTGGCGCCCTTGTCCAAAAGCCGATGGAGGGGTTCCGCTACAGCAGCTTTGAGGGAAAGAAAAGAGTGATAAAAATTTAATAGGCCTAAGAAGGCCTGTAGTTCGGTCTTTGATGTGGGGGCTGGGGCGTTCGAGATCGCCCTGGTCTTCTCCGCCGTGGGGTGGATTCCCTGGGCGTCCACCGCGAACTCCACCTTGGGGACCCTGAGGAGGCATTTTTCGCGCTTCACCTTCAGCCCGACCTGGTCGAAACGTTGGAGCACTGTCCGGAGACGGTCGGCGAAGGACGGGGCGTCGGGGGCGGCGATGAGCACGTCGTCTAAAAACGGCTGCACTCCCGGAATACCTTTTAAGAGAGCGTCCATGAATGATTGGAAAATCCCCGGGGCCACGGAAACCCTGAACTGGAGCCTGTGAACTCGGAAAGCCCCCTTATGCGTGACAATAGTTTGGGCCTCTGCGGTGGCGGCGTCCACCGGCAGTTGCTGGTAGGCCTGTGCCAAGTCCAGTTTGCTGAAGATGCGGGCCCCGGCCAGTGCGGCTAGCACGTGGCTGACCACCAGTACCGGGTACGCGTGGTCTTGCAGTGCCTTGTTTAAGGTGCACTTATAGTCCGCACAGATCCGCACATCACCGTTGGGCTTGACGGGCGTGACTATAGGTGTCTCCCAGCGGGCGGACGCCACTGGTCCAGTTCTGCCTCGATCTTGGGCCTCATCGAGATGGGTGGATGCCTGGCCCTCATCCTGATGGGACGGACCGCTGGATCCAGGTCCAGGGAGATGGGTGGTCCCGTGAACCTGCCGAGGGACCCATCGAAAACCTGCGGAAACTCGTTGCAAACTTCCGCGAAGTCCACACTCTGTAACTGGTGGAGCCCCCCAATGGTTAAGCCCAGTGGCCTGAACCATGACATGCCCAGGAGGCTGGAAAGCCGGCCGCCCACCACCAGTATGTCCAGGTGCCCCTTGAAGTCCTAGAACTCCACCTTGAACTTGCCCCAGCCCCGCACCACCACTGAATTCTTATTTAAATTCTGTAATTTAAAATGTGGTTTGCGCAGAGGGGGCCCCCCCTTGGGACACACTTTCCGTAGTGTCTCCTCCGAGATTATTGTAAACTCGGAGCCGGTATCTATCTCCATGCTACAGGGGGACCCCTCTATCCGGACCGAAACGTGGACTTTGTTCCGGCCGTTGCGGGGCAGGTCACCTACCTGGGGCTGGGGCTGGTGGTCGACGGCATGCAGGTCGAGG